TATCGACTTCTTCATATTTCCCCAGCTAAGTACCCAAATTTGATCGTGTGACTTATCATAATGTAGTTTTACAGGTATAGGGTCAACATCCAAAGACTTTAAAGAAACAAAAACAATTCCATTAGATCTTGCTTATGAGAAGGGAGGTACACATTCTGTGCCAGAGGTTTGACAACAGACCACTGCATGTCATTGACTATATCTTTATGTGGCATTGCTGTAAGTCTCTACAGGCTTGCTTCACATCTAGTGCAATGGAAGGTGACTGCTCTCCTTTCAGTCCTTTATCTCTGTCATAGACTTTCCCTCTTCCTGCTTGCTTGCAGTCATCTCCGGCGGAAGCAGTCATTCACAAGCCCCAGATTAATTGACTGCCCAGGGCTATTCTGCAGCTGTAACCAATCAAGCAGGCTCATCTCCGATCTCTGAAAGAAAGGATTTACAAGTGCCCTGCTGCAACCAAGGAAGTATCAGGGAGAGATGGCTTACAATTTGAGGTTTGGCTGCAAGGGGTAGGGGTGGGGGGGATGGGGGGTAGCGCTCTGCTTATTACCCCCAGGATGTTCACTTTTACCCCATTTGGGGTAATTTACCCATGTTCCCTGACCACTGCACTACACCAGGGAACTATGCAACAGGATGTTGGCCAAATTGGCAAAGTAACAGCATTATGTGTTAATTCCCACCTCAGATATATAGTAGGAGACATTCCAAAATATTAAATATTTTGAGTTGTTATTCCTTAGTTTGTGTTGTATAACTGTGAATACCTCACTGCTAGATGGTTCCATTTTATGGAGCCAACTATTTTAGATTCCAGAAGACTTCCTGAACAGTAGATTGGTGCCTGAAAATGCAGCCATCATTACCAACTCAATATCCTCAATGTATAGGTGGGTTGTAGTTACATGTTCATTTTTGCTTCACTTCCAAAAACATAGAAGCTAGTTAATCTAGACCAGAGGTCTCCAAAGTATGGCTCACAGGTCACAACCGACCTGTCTTGCCTTTTTATCCAGCCCGTGCATGTGTGTGCATGGGCGGGCGGGGGTGTGTATATGATGGCAAGCAGGAGTGCAGGCAGGCGGGTGTATGCGCGTGTTCCTTCGGCCCTCAAAAATATGGAAACATATTATGTGGCTCTCAGTATGAAAAGTTTGGAGTCCCCTGATCTAGACTGACTAGTAATCTTGTCACAGAGATCTGTATCTCCTATGGTGTATTTCTATTAAATTAGTAGATTCAATTATAGACTTGTATCTCTTAATTCTGCAAAACAGTACACAAGTTTCTTATGAAAATCTCAAAGCTAATATACAAAATTATAATCCAAGTCATGAACAGTTGCTTATTTGTCCTGCATGTAGTTAAATACATGATTTAATTTCCTTTGCAAATGTACTTATTATCCCCTTATTTCTTAGAGTATTTTTAAAGTACTTTTAACAGTGTCAACAACCAACCAACCTGAAGTTGTAGACTAATCAGCTTGCCTACTGAAACACAGTTTATACTTAAATCTGTCACTGCTTGGCACAAAAATTCTTTAATAGCATTACTGAATGGTCTAAACCTCCCCACTCCCCAAAGAACTTAGCTAAAGTAAGTGTTAGTCTCAAATGCCAGTTATGGAATGCTGCTTTGCTGTTTCTCTTCTTGGATTTTTGAAATATGTTTAAATTGCCAGGGCAGGCTACACACATACATTGCTTTAATTTTACTATTAATATGTACCAAAAATATGTGGTACAACCCAAACATGGATATTTTGGCTGAACAGAGTATATGTTGGATTTTTGTCTGCATGTAACTATGTATGTTACTCAACCATTTTAGTCAAGTTTATTGTCAGTATCATTAGTCCTGACACATCATGCATTGGTTCTAATTACAATTCAGTAAAACAAAACAAAACTTGGCTTCCAAATTCAACTTAGTACCAGGTAGCAACATCATCCCCCCCCCCAACAAGCAGTGGTAGAGAGTCCAGAATTTGAGGGCTTTCTCCCACCTGAAGTTTGATTTCTTCAAAATGTTATCAAAAACGTTATCAAAAATTTGAAAGGCTAACAAGAAAAATTATTGAAGCCAAATAAGCAAAACTGTCCAATCAAATCAGAGTTTGGTTTGCGGCAATCAAGTGTCCTTCTAAATTTCTAGATACTGTAACTAGAAAGTTTCCTAGCAGAATCCTAATTAGGTTTTGCATAGACCATATTACCATATAATACTAAATAATAACTTAAAACAATAGTCATCAACACAGCCAGCTTCAAACAAGCCAGATTCATCACCCATGGTTTAAATGGGACAGTTTGTTTTTTGACCATGACCTCTAGATCATTTGTAAAAACCTGCACAGTCCCAGAAGTGGTCCCAGAAGAAGGAAATGGTAAGCCACTTCTGAGTATTCTCTACCTAGAAAACCCTAAAAAGGGTCACTATAAGCTAGAATTGACTTGATGACAGATCATGATGATGATGATAAAACACCAGGCACAGTCAAAATTATAAAAACATTCACTGATGTTGTAAAACAAATACAAGTTTTTACCAAAAACGTAAGTATATTAAATATCACGCAGTACATATGCTGCTCCTTATATTGCTGTTTTTTGTATCTCTGATGATATGATTTCTGAGATCTGCAATGTAAATATATTAAATATCAGCGCAGTACATATGCTGTTCCTTATATTGCTGTTTTTTGTAGCTCTGATGATATGATTTCTGAGATCTGCAACTGCGTATAGTATTGTGTGAAATTTCTTGATATTGCTCCTAAAGCTCCAGTGACTACGGGGATCACTGAAGTGTGTTTCTTCCAGAGGCAAGATGTTTTGATTGCCAGGTCTCTGTACTTTGTTAGTTTTTCCAATTCTTTATTTTTAACTTTGGCATCCCTGGGAATTGCAATGTCAATGATCCAGACATTTCTTCATTACTACTATGTCTGATGTGTTATGTTCAAGGTGTCTATCTGTTTGGATCCAAAAATCCCACAAGATCTTGACTTTTTGGAGGCCGGCAAGTTATATTTTTTGCATAATGACCAGTGCACTAATTTTGCCACACTATCATGTCTAATTTTGTAATCTGTGCAGTCTTTGGACATTCACAGATGAGGTGTGACACAGTTCCATCTTTTTCTTGGCAGAGTCGACATTTGCTGTTAGCACTAACTCCTTGGATCTTAGCTTTCATTACATTGGTTTAAAGTGCTTGTTGTTGTGTAGCAAAAATCAAGCCTTTGGTGTCTTTCTTAAGGGTCCCTAGTTTTAGCCATGCCCATGTTGAATTATGATCATGCTTTCCATCAGTATTTTTCAGGTGTTGTCCTTGTAGTGGTTTATTTTTTCCAGCTGTTTACTTTATTTTCAAATTGTTGTTTCTTATATTGAGACTTTGTTTCTGTTGTTTTCAAAATATTCTCCATTTTTACCACCTTAAGTAATTTTCCTCTGCTTGTACTGATGTAACTATTTAGGCTTCTTTTTTCCTCCTCTACTATCTGCTTTATTTGCAATAATCCATGGCCTCCTATTTTTCATGGTAAATATAATTTGTCCACATCACTTTTTGAATGTAGTGTGTGATGCATGTTCATTCGTTTCCATGTTTTTGATCCAATTCTTCTAATTTGTTTTGAGTCCAATCTATTATTCCAGCTGGGTATCTAATTACTGGAATGGCCCGTGTGTTTAAGGCTTTGTTTGTATTTCCCCCATTTAATTTTGATTTTAAGATTTTCTGCAGTCTTTTGATATATTCCCTTTCTGTGAGTTCTTTAACTTTTGCGTTCACAATGTTGTCTGCTTCTAGTATTCCAAAGTATTTATAATTTTCATCACTTGATAGTGATTTTATAATATTGCCATTTTAAAAACTCTATTCCATCTAGTCTTTGGATCTTGCCATGGTGTATAGACTTAGCTGCACATTTGTCAATTCCAAATTTCATTTGGATATCTTCACTAAATATTTGCAGTGTGTTTAACAGTGATTCTATCTCTGTGGAACTTTTTGCATATAGTTTTAGGTCATCCATGTGTAGGAGATGAACAAATTTTACTGCTTGTTCTGAAATATGATAGCCGTAGGAGATGATCGAATTTTCCTGCTTGTTCTGAAATATGATAGCCCAATCCAGTTTTATTTAAAATTATTGGCATGGGGATTGATGAGATGTTAAACAGCAGTGGTGACAAAGAATCCCCCAGAAATATTCCTCTTTTGATGCTAACTTCCCCAATTTCTTCATGGGCCATTAAAACAGTTTTCCATTTTTCCATGTTTTTCTTAAGGAACTTCTCAATGTTTTTACTAACCAAAAAAATTTTAGGCAGTTAATCCAGCTGTGTGGTAATGAGTCAAGTGCCTTTTTATAGTCTGTCCAGGACATGTTAAGATTATTCTTGTTCTTTCTTTCCTACCATCCATTCTTACTCTCCCCTGCCTCCCAAAGAAGATAGCTTTACATTAGAAAATAAATCTTAGATATAAAAAGCAATCAAAGAAAACTGTTAGAAATGTACAGATCTCCAAAGCTGGTGGGACAATGAGGAGTTTGGCAAAGCACTTCATAGGCCACAGAACTGCTAACATGAAATTTCTAAGTAATATGATTCAGCATTCTGTGCATTTGTAAGCAAAGCATGCATACATATATTTTTTTTAAGATTCAAGGGCACTGCCTTTGATCCCGAACATGGAAGTCTTGCTAAATTGTTATTTTGGAGTACATCTGCCAGAAATCTCTGACCAACATGATTAGTAGTCCTGCTGGCTGGGAGATTCTGAGCCCTGTAATTCAAGAAAGCAACTTTCCCAAGCTTTGCCTTGATGAGCAAATGGGTTTGGCATACAATATTACTGCTTTGTGGTTGGACCAGTTTTTTGAACAAATCTTGCGATGAGTCTTGTCTTGTTATACAATTTCTCCCTCTAGTGGTTGTTTTAAATATTTCCCCATTGCAGTTAAGTCTTTCTTTTTGTTACAGGGCGTACTGGAAGGTATACCTTAATAGAAAAATGGAGAGATACAGAGAGACACTTGGCACCTCATGAAAATCCTATAATTTCCTTGAACAAATGGGGACAATATGCAAGTGATGTGCAGTTAGTATTGAGACGTACTGGGCCATCCCTCAGTGAGAGGCCTACTTCAGACAGTGTTGCCTGGATACCAGAACGAACTTTGTATCGTCAGAGCCTGCCACCGCTGGCCAAGTTAAGACCTCAGAATGACAAGTCGATAAAAAGGAGGGAGCCCAAAAGGAAATCTTTGACGTTCACAGGAGGGGCCAAAGGATTAATGGACATTTTTGGGAAAGGCAAAGAATCTGAGTTCAAGCAAAAAGTTATCCATTGCAAGGCAACTGTTGATGAGTTAAAGAAACTGATCCACCTCCAGACAGAGAAACTGCAGGCTATTGAGAAGCAGCTGGACTCAAACAATGCCGAGATCAAATATTGGGAGCAGAGATTCAGTTACAGCCTTGAAGACGAAATTGTCAAACTGGAGCAGAGGATCAAACGGAATGAGGTAGAGATTGAGGAGGAGGAGTTCTGGGAGAACGAGCTCCAGATTGAGCAAGAAAATGAGAAGCAACTGAAGGAGCAGCTCCAAGAGATCAAACAAAGGATTTTGGACTGCGAAAGCAAGCTGAAGGAGTATGTGGCCCAGATCCATGGCATGGAGAGCGGCCTTGAGGCTGAAAAGTTACATCGGGAAGTGGAGGAGTCAAAAATAAATGAAGACGAAGTAAAAGAAAAGATTGAGAGGGTGAAGGGAGAAATTGACATTCAGGGACAGCAAAGCCTCAGGCTGGAAAATGGAATTAAAGCTGTTGAAAGGTCTCTGGGCCAGGCCACCAAAAGGTTACAGGTGAGAGCATCAGCCTGCATGGGCCACTTTTCTCTCCCATGGCATATTGCCCATGATACATGTGTTGCTACTCTAGTCATCTGGTTCCATAAAGGCCTCGCTTCACTTTATTGATCCTTCAACTAGAGCTCAAAGATGATGTAGTTGGTAGATGCTGTTCTGGAGCAAACACTTATTTCCTTTATCTTTTTATACATTCTTTGGTATAGAAAATTGCTTCTTCTTTAATTATTTTCTGGGATACAATAGTGGTGAAATCGCAAGACTGTTTTTAAACTTGTCATCATTCTTTGATGTTTAGTGATATTGCAGAGTGGTTTGAGTTAGCAGTGAAGCATTTGAACCAAGTTATGCCTTGCCTTTGTGAATGCACATGATACTCAGATTTAGTCATTGTTCATAATTAAAAGGCCTGCATTTTGAAATAATTTTTTGCATGTAACATCTAGAATGAGGACAGAGCAGAACAGTTCAGTGCACCTGAAGTCCATCTGAAGTTTATTTTACTCATGTTAAGTTTTCCTGTAACCATTTTATCATCAGTGAAGGGCTGTTGAAGGTTTCTAAATGCTGCATGTAGTGAGAGACTATACATTTGCGTGCAGATTGGAAGAAAGGAATGTGCATTGGCATATGGTACTCCACTATAGTGAAGCATCACGATGCAATTATTGGGGGTGGAGGGTGGCAAATTCAGAGTGCTGGACCAGAATCAGTCTTGTGCACTTGCATTTTTCTTCAGCATCACCTGTGTTTGTTCCTGTTTAAAGTGAAACTGCATCTTGATTTTGCTAAAAATAAAAATTCTTTAGAAAGTTTATTCTCAATTCGTGCTCATGACCAAGCTTGTTTTGCTTGCTTTACAGGAGAAAGAACAAGAACTAGAGCAGCTGACGAAAGAGCTGCGGCAAGTCAATCTGCAACAGTTTATCCAGCAAACAGGGACAAAGGTTACTGTGCTGCCTGCCGAACCCACAGAATTGGAGGCTTCTCACCCAGAGCTTGAGAGGGGTATGCTCCTGGATTCACGTGATTACACTCTTCTTCTAACACTTCATACAGTTTCTCATTAAGTTTGGGGACAAAGCCTGCTTCAAGGTTGATGGGCCTGGTTTGTAAGGAGGGCAAGGTTTCTTGCATTCTGAAGGAGTAACATTCTGACCCCCGTCATCCCCAACTTGCAATTTTGCTTAATCCTCGCTTCGTTGTGGGGTAGGTAGGAACACAGTAGAAAAATACAATAAAACCATCAGGATGAAATTCTGAAAGCATTTATGTAAAAGCAACCAGAAAACCCCTTTCCATGTGCTTAAAATTGTTCATTAAAAAGCAAGTGCAACAACGTATTTTTTATAGGTCTAAATCCAATTGCTAGTCTCAGCTAGAGTACACCCAGTGAATCAGTTGCTGAATGGTAGGTAGGTCAATACTTGTAGCTCCCATTGATAGTGGCTGTAATCCTGTTGTGGAGTAATGCAAATGACATAACCAGAATTGCCATAAATTAGGAAATCTCCATAGGGAGTTGCATGACTCAGTATGCAACAAATAATGTCCACAGAAATCTTTTTTAAAACTCATTGCAATTTGCTTCCAAAAGTTTCATCATTGGCATAACTGCACAATAGGATTTCAGCCAATTGGTCTGTTCTAGTTAGCACTATCAGTTGATATAAGCTTTCAACCCATCCAGAAGCCCTTTGGCGCCTTTAAAAAAAACATATTTACAGGGAACTTGGATTAGGGAGGGGTTGCAGGAAACAAAAAGAAAAAAGTGTTGCCCCAAATGTTGCGAAATACAGACAGCAGGAGCAGTTCTGTCATTTCTACACAGCTCTGTGCTGCTGCCATTTTAATTACGTGGTGGTGGTGGTGGTGTCGACAGCAGGAGCAGTTCTGCTACCATTTTAATTACGGGGTGGTGGTGGTAGTGTCAGAATTTACTTATTAGCAAAACTAGTACAAAACGTGGGGTAGAGGCAGATATTTCAAAGGTTGGGCCAAACATGATGCCATTCGCTCATGAAACCAGACTGCCAAATAGGCAAGACAGAGATTCTGCACAAAGCAGAGGTGAGAAATTTGGCATTTTCAAGGAGGAGAGACTGCAAAATAATAACTTGCTAGATGCAAGTTAAACATTCAGAATGTAAACGCCATTTTACCTTCCTTGCAATCTGGACTTAATGAACCAAAGGCGTAATATTTGGCTTTGGTCAATTTTTGAATGATTTGCTTTGAAAGATATACCATCTTCACCTGAAGAAGAATTTTGGAAAACTCAACTAATTTTTGATAGTAAAGTACAGTCACTAATATAGGATTGCTTATGTGTGCCCATATCCTGATTCACTAACAAGTGTCTTCTCCCACAGAAGCACCATTTCAGACTGGATCCCTGAAACGTCCGAGTTCATCAAGGCAACTTCCTAGCAATCTTCGGATCTTGCAGAATCCACTCTCCTCTGGTTTTAACCCAGAGGGCATTTATGTATAACAGTATATACCTCTTCTGGAGAGGACCTATGAAGGTACCATGGACCATATACACCTCCCTCCTGTTGTATTTGTCCTCCTGGCGATTTATGGAGGGTTAAAAAAGAAACTTCCTTTCAGAGGCCACCCAGTGTTAAGTGTGTGTGTGTTTTTTAAATCAGATCTACAACAAGCTTTGAACCCTGCCTCATGCACTGATGAAACAAAGAACTCAAGGAACTGTGGAGGCGCACTTCAACCATGTTACAATTGCTGCCGAACAGTATGGTGAAAATAGCTTCCTTTTTTAAAATGCTATTTCTGAAGAATTTGGAAAAGTATTATTCCTTTGCAGGCATAAATGGCTGACCAGAGTGCAAGAAACTGTGTGGAACTGAGTTAGGGCTTAATTTATTACATTTAATCAGTAGGTGTATGAATGCTGACAAGTAAAATGGCTACCTACATTTCTTGACAGGACTACATGTTAAGCCAGTCCACTGCTGCCTAAAACAGCATCCCACGTTAAGTACTCTCCCTTTCCATTCACACATGTAGAATCATTTCTGTCAGTGGTTCCCAACCTTGTGTCATCAAGTGTTCTTGGACTGGAGTTCCCAGAAATCCTGGACAGCACAGAAATGGGGGGGGGGGATCCAAAAAGCAACCAAACCCCCCAAGACCCATTGGAAATGGGGGGGGGAAAAACAAGAAGTTTTAGTCCAAGAACATTTAGGGACCCAAGGTTGGTTACCACTGGTATTTGTCACAGCATACAGGTAATTATTCTAAATGTATTTTGGGGCAAGGGAAGAACTCAACCTAAGGATACCATTTTCAGTGGCAGTTTTGTGTTGGGCATAATTCCACCATACAATGTCATATTTGTGGCAGATAATTAAGTAGGTAGAAAGGTGTGTGAAAGAGGGAGAGAGAATGGGCAAATGTGTGAATAGATGCGAGTGCAGAAATAACTTGTGAGTTCACTGCAGGGATGGACATACTATTAAGGGTGAAAGATTCAGAGTCTTAAAAAGGGTCTCTGATATTTCTGTTCTTTTTCAAGTTACATTGTACTAAGAGCCATTCCAGGATTTTTGCAGTCCATGGTTTGTCCCTTTTAAGGTCCATGGGATTTAATCCTCACTTGGTAAGCATGTGTTCAGCCTTCTCGAATACATGTGTTCAGTGTTTGATTGAGGACCTTCTAGTTAGACATTTTATTATATGAAATTTATATTTGAGATATTTTGCCACAAGTACTATGCTTATTAAGGAACAAAACACTATGAGATATCTTCAAGAATCTTGCCAAAGGAGTTTGTCACTGATTTTATTTTTAATCTTCTATCTCTTTTTCTGTCTAGCAGGATTTTGTTTTTGTTTTTTGTTTTTGTTTTTTACTCTTTTTCTGTTCTAGCAGGATTTTGTTTTTGTTTTTTTGTTTTAAAAAAATGATAGTGTTCTTGTATTGTAGTCAGCTTTTCCAATAAAAACACAGCCTTTCAGTGTCAATGCTGGCCTGTGCTGCTCAGGACCCATTAAGCCAAACACAACGTACCATGCACATTAACGGCAGCTGCCAGTGCTTGACCATTCTCCTGTTTTGTGCAAGGCCAAGCAAGAAGAAGAATCCAGAAGGTGTTTCAAGCCATGTGGTGGTCTCTGCCATGGTGCAGAATATGTTGAATATGTTCAGCCTTTGGGAGTGATCAGAAAATTGTGTAGGTTGACTTGCTTACAGCATGAAACAGTATTCCATATGATTTTTTAAAATGATGTATATGTTTGCAAGCGTATTTCTTATCAATGTATTATTGTAAAAGGATCTAAGGAAAGAAATAACTTCAGTTTCCAGATACAACCCAAAATAATTAAGTAGGTTTAGAGAAGATTGCATGCCCAAGAGAAATAGGAGTAAGCATCTAATTCATGGTTCATGGCAAGACCTTTCAAAGCAGTTTGGATTTTTGACTAAAGTGTCCAAACACAGTACCAAGACCACAATGATTTCTGTGTTATCTCAAGAGATTACATATTGGATACCTGGCCTCATCTGTTGTTTTTAATTTGCCTGGGCAAGAATATTACTTTCAGATATGGGATGGGCTCTCTGATGGCAATGCATGAACATTTGGTCGCAAGAGTTCTAGGTCTTGGTCCTGCAAGCAGCTTAGTACTCATTTGTTGGACTTAAAATTGCTGGCCCCCCAGCTAAAGTCAGTTCTGCTGACTATCCACAGTGTATTGTTTAATGACTGCTAAGCCCCTTGCAGACTGTGAAATAAATGTGTGGTGCTGTCATTCCCCAAGGGTTAGGTTACTCTTCCAGAATATACACCCTTTCTGAAGAAACATTTCACTGATAAAGGCACTGAATTTAGGAGGATGAACATTGTGAATCACTCTATCAAGTGCTTTAACATTTGCACTCTTTTTGTCCTTTCAAACCCTCTGGCTGATGCCTTAGATCAGTGGTTCCCAACCTTGGCCCCCCAGATGTTTTTGGACTAAAACTTCCAGAAGCCTTTACCACCAGCTGTGCTGGCCAGGATTTTGGGAGTTACAGCCCAAGAACATCTGGGGACCCAAAATTGGGAAGCACTGCCTTAGATCATCATAAGGGGCTTGGAGAGATTGAATGGCAGAAAAGGTGATTCCTTCTGAATAATACTAGCCTTCCAGATTTTGATTTCAGTGTCATTAAATGGGAATTTGTGCTTAAAATGTCAATTATTTCAATGAAATTTAAGCAGACTGGCTTGTTCAAATTGTGTTCATAGCTAACAGAAAGTCTGTTCAAGTTGTCTTCCACTGTTTTGCAGGATTTCATGGTTAGAGCAGGGAGTTCCCAGGAGATACCTGGTGATATAAATATATTTTTGTTCTCAAAGAAGAATACAAAAAATTATTTTTTACCTTTTTATATTCTATGAAAGAAATTAAAATAGACCATAAAGAAATCAAGATTCCATTACAGTTGAAGAATTTTCCTTATTCACAGCTATATACAGTAGGACCGCTGTATCTGCAGGATCAGTACCTGTGTTTTTGCTTCTGCCTGAAAAAATTAAATGAAAAGTCCCAGAAATAGGTTTCCAAGGTGTATTATCAGAATTGGCTACTAGAAGGAACCAGAAAATATTCTATATATAGCATTTCTATAGTCACAGTTCTGCAGGTTGAGGTGGGGTGGGGCTTGGAATTGATCCCCAGCAGATATCGTGTTCCTACTGTGGTTTAATGATGCAGTTTTAATTTCAAAGAGCCTGTAAAATGCATGGGAAAGGGTTTTATTTCTCCAGCATTTTCTCTGTTTCAAGTAAGTCTGTGGCAAATATAAAACTTCTTTTTAAAAAAGACACTGTTCTCAGAAGAGAAGAAACTGTTCCTCTTTTTTCCTATCCACAATTGAGATAATAGGCTTCATTAATCTCCTGTTCTCACCAACCAAAAAGAGATGCACGGCGCCCATGGTGGCAGGGGGTGACAACAAATATAGCTCACCACGTCTGATGAGCACCAGCCATGCAACGCTGATTAGTGGGCAATCTCATCAGTATTGTTCCACAAGCAGCTAACTCTGTTGCTAAAATCCTGTTTGTGTAAATTGTGCAGCGTAAGGCTACTGATGTCATCAGCTAGAGCAAATTTTTGAACATTTAGCATTTCCCCCTTCCATTCCAAGGTCCCTACAGGTCCCCAACAATGTTGCATTGTTGGGAAACCACCTGAGCTAAGTCTTTATTTACTTCAGATAATTGTTGCCAATAAAGTCATACCAGTTGTTGCAATTTTCAGTAAAGACTCCCTTGGCCCCCATGGATTACTCTAGATGAAAAGGTTTACTCAGGACTCATAGGGAGGAGGAAGTGTTTAATTCCCCCCTCCCCCAGAAAATGTTCTGGCTCAAAGACATCATTAACCTTTATCCTGTGGAACTCATATTAACAATATACACTCCATTCAGTGGCATGTGATGCTAAATAACTTGAAAGTCTCTGCTTTCTTACAAAGTCCAGTAAAATAGCATATTTTGTACATGTTAAACCAGGTTTTGCATATGGCAGCATGTCCTTTTTATAATTTTGCAGCATTGGTGCTGAAGAGCTCCTTTGAAAAATGGAAGGAATATTGTATGTCCCCTGAGATGAGGGATCACCTGAAATGTACCATCTATATTTTGTTAGCTCTAGACTGCACATTTAACTTAGCATTTTCAGATCTGCTTTTCTTGGTGCCATCCTGATAGGCTTAACTGATGCTCTTGCCAAGATTTAGAATTCCACAATTGATAATAATAAGGGGTCACTCTGACTTAAATTGTTTCTTCTTTTTTTTCAAAAAAAGTAAGAAGGAATTTAAGTCTAGTTTCAGTGATCCCTTAATTATTATTTGCAAAAAAAAGTACCTTGGAATATCAAGCAACAATCGAAAAATCAGAAAGCAGAGCCAGAAAGGTAACTTAGGACAAACAGTTTCATGCAAGTTCAGCAATCTTCATTTGCCAGATCTGTAACACCAGACTTTTGTGAAGTGTCTGTGATAGTGTTTGTTTTCTCTTTGTCTCATGCAACTTACTTACCTTTCATTCAGCACAAAATGCACCATGTAACCTAGTAATCAGGTAGTGCTTTTAACTAGATGGCAGTACCAAGCACCACTTAGTTTGTACAGTGGACCCTTTACTTACGAACTTAATCCGTTCCGGAAGGAAGTTTGTAAGTCGAAAAGTTTGTAAGTCGAATCAGTATTTCCCATAGGAATGCATTGAAAACCATTTAATCCGTTCTGGCTGTTTCTGGTTCTTAAGTTGAGCAGCGGTTTGTAACTCGAATCATTAATTCCCATAGGAACTAATGCAAAGCCGGTTAATCCATTCCTACCACTAGGGGCAGACTTTTTTCTTTTTTTTCCTTTTAACCTAAGATGAGTTAGGTTTTAAAAAAAGGAAAGAAAGGAGGGAGGGAACAGACACCTTTTCAACAGAACACCTTGAAAAGCACATTTTCAGCCAAGACAAGCACCTTTTGGGGGGGGAAAGGGACAGCAAATGAGAGAGGGAACAAGCACCTTTCAGACAACATAACACCTTGAAAAACACTCCTCAGCACAAAGAGAGACATGGCTCTGAACTCCATTTTTACCCTGCTTGCAAGCA